GCTCCTCGCCGTGCGACTGCGGGCAGGGACCAGGCTGCTGGACGAGGGCCACGGCCCGGGCCCCAGCCCAACCCACCAGCTGCACAACGTGCCCCGTTGACCTGACCTGTGACCTAGAACAAGTCACTTCATTGCTCCTTCCCTAGTCTGTAAGACCCGACACAGGGAACCCCAGGGACCTTCCGCAGATGCCACTCCCCTCCTGCTCTCTTCTGCTCTGTTCCCACAGCCCAAATCCTTTCTTAAAATAATTCTTCTGATCCTTTGACTAACACCAGCTGATCCCTCTCAACAGCCTCCTGATAGACTCCAAGGGACTCCTGGGAAAGGGCGTCTTGCCCTGCCCTCTCCTTTGTGAGGAGTCTTTCCTGGACCCCTGTGCTCTGCTGACCCAGGGCTTCTAGGGAGACATCCAAATGAGCTCAGGCCTGCAGGGCCACCCTGCCCCAGGAGGGGCTGGTGCCATGGAGGGCTCCTGCAGGTGGGGCTGGTGCCCTGCACGGAAGGTCCGCTGAGATGCAGGCTCTGGACAAGTGGCCTCACCTGCAGTACCCCAACCCAGGCCATTACTGCCAGCCCACCTGAGATGAAAGAGTCTGCAGATGACAGCTTGCGGGGCATTCCCATCTCCACCAACACTGCCCCCAGCCCACGACCTCTGCCCCACCTGCCCCCACACTCACCACATGTTTGAGCTTGGGCAGCCGGCGCTGCCAGCAATTGTAGAGCAGGCCCAGCACGATGATGATCACGCAGATGGCACCGATGACCACCAGCACCACAAAGAGCGTCCCGTAGTCACTGCGCACCTGGCTGGCCCGGGCCTGGCAGCTGCTGGTTGTGGAGTAGTTCTGGATGCCAATCTGGGGGTGGGAGGGGCCAGGCTCCTCAGCTGAGGCCCTGGGTGCCATGGCTCCCACTCCCTTAGGGCTGGGGCTTAGGAACAGGGACAGGCTTTGAGAAGGAGCTGGCACACTCCTGGCTCCTGAAGCTCCCTGAGGGGCCTGATCAGTGTTCATGAGGGACTCTCTCTGCCCTATGTCCACCCTGTTCACCTGGGGGCAGCTCCGGGCCTCTCTACCCTACATTTCTATTGCATGCCCCTCCCCCACACCCCCAGCATGGTACTGCCTGACCATGACCCTGTGGGAAAGAAGTCTGGCTCAAAATCCATCAGGCTGTGACCCTACCCCCCACTCCCTACTCTTGACTGAGGCTGCCCACGCTCATGCTGCCAGTCATGATCCAAACTAGATTGAGTCTCCACACCTGTCCCACCAGTTTAAAAAGGAAGAAAACAGACAAGGGCAGCTGTGATCCCCTTGCCACACATCCTCCACCACACAACACCATTGAATCAGGCCCCTGGGTATTCTGGTATTATCCTGGTCATTATGGGCCAGAGACAGTGCAGGAGATACTGGGACAGCCCACAGGGGCCACCCCAGCCTCCCAGCTCCCTCCCCGTTCCCACTGGAGTGGTCACCAATGGTATTTAGCTGCCCAACCCCACTCCCACACTGCAGGTTGTCTTGGGTGGGCCTGCTTTCTCTGGCCCAGAGGCTGCTGTGCCCTGACCTGGCCCAGCAGATGTTCTCTCCACAAATCAGCATCCAGGCAGAAAGGGAGCAAAGGTGAGGTGCCCTCCTCAAAAGATAGGTGCTCTTTCCTGGCTCCCAACGCAGAGCTGGGAGCCCCCTTTTTGCCTTGCACTCCCCTTTCAAATGCCAGTTATTCAGCTCTCCTTTGGTTTCTGTGAATCGCCTATATATTTCCACTACCTTCCTCTATTAACTGAAATTACTAAGGGTCCATATTCCTTGCTAGAACTTGCTAAATTTGCCCACTAATATACTTCCAAATGCCCGGCATGCCTTTGACCATGTCAGTCAGCATGAAGTGTCCAGTAAAACCAGAACACCCAGGGACTGGGAAAAGAGTCAGGAGAGTCTATAAAAAAGATCAAGGGCAGCCTGTTCCCCACCAGTTCTCAGAGTTCACAAACCAAGACTTTCACAACCAGAACAGCCCTTATTATAGACACTGCATTGTGGTGGAAGACCAGCATCTTGAGTTATTCAGGCCTAGTAGAAACCAAAGAGCCTGGCTCTTCTACTACTACTAGCTGTGCAATCTCACTTTCCCTGGGCTCCCGCTCTAACCTTAAATGGAGCAAGAGCACCGAGGGTACTCAGTAGGGTGCCTTATTTGTGCTCACAAGCCCTGGAGCAGTGGTGAGGAAACCAAGCACCGTCTGGCACTCAGTAATGATTCAATAAGCTTTGCTGATTAAAAAAAAACCCAAAAACCAGAAACCCCACAGAATCCACCTCTTCGCCCTGAGTGTACTGAAGAGGCAGAACCACAGTCATGCACAGTTCATCTTTGCTGTCAAATATTACACAGCCCTCAATATGAAGGAAGACTGGCCCTAGCTAGTTTGGCTCAGTGGACAGTGTCAGCCTGTGGACTGAAGGGTCCCAGGTTCAATTCCAGTGAAGGGTACATGCCCAGGTTGGATTGCAGGCTCAATCCCCAGTAGGGGGTGTGCAGGAGGCAGCCGATCAGTGATTCTCTCATTATTGATGTTTCTATGATTCTCATCATTGATGTTTCTCTCTCTCCCTCTCCCTTCCTCTCTGAAATCAATAAAAATATTTTTTTTTAAAAAAAAGCAGGACTGATGACAGATGACTGGATTTCACAGTGAGTGGAAGGGGTTTCGTTAGAGATGGTGACTGTCCCTGGGAAGGGAAGTGAATGAGGAACAGGAGGAACAATGAGGACCTGCCCCTGCTATCAGCCATGGCTCTGCTCCACCTTGCACAGGTGGCCGGCCTGTCTCCTCAGCCACAGTCTCCAGGACGGGCCAGAGGCTGGGTCAGGGCTGAATCTCAAGAAGGCAGGCCTGTCTGCTGTGCCCTGAGCCCCGCCCCTCACCCCCAGCTGGCCAAGCACTGCAGACTCTCATGGTCTCCGAAGAAATGCCCAGGCCTCTTGTGCTTTCTCCTGTGGTTCTGGAGCCACAGCACGTGCTCCCACCCACCAGGCTTCTGAACAGTCCCTTGGCCAGACATACTCGTAGTGTTTCTCCCACTATCTGCCCAGAAAACTCCCAGCTGGCAGTCCCTGGCTGGCCCATGCACAGTGCAGTTGATAGCTAAGTGCTCATATACTCTGTCTCTCCCATGGGGACGGTGTCTTAGGAGACCTGAAAGGAAGAACTACAGAGTAAGAGTTTGTGTTTTGCTCCTTGCACCACATGGTGCAGTCCACCCTCCTGCCCTCAGGGATGGCAGCCCGGCTGCCAGAGCTTTAAGGAACAGGATGGGAACTCGTCCCTGCCCTCTTACCTCCACCAGACTCCTGCGGATATCACCCAGCATAGAAAGGACATCTTGAGTGGGCATCACCCCTGGGGGGAGACAGCATCATCAGCCCAGGCTTGGCCACTGGGGCGCTCCCCCTTTGGACTCCTGGTCCCCTTGGACAGCCTCTGGCCTGAGTTTCTAGAGCCTCACTCCCTGGCTCCCTGGTATATACACAACCACTCTCTCCTCTGCTTGCTGCCCACTGATTGACTCATTAAGAAGATTCAGTGAGTGCCTACTAAGTGACAGGTGTGATACCAGGCGATCACTTCCACAGCTCCTTAAGTCTGCATTCTGAACACATTCCTTCTCAGCCCACCACAAAGTATACAGTGCCACTGTCTGGTACCTGCACTGAAACCACACTCTTCCCCCTCCTATTCCCAGTGTTCCCACCTTCCTCCTCCTCCTGCCTTCAAGCTTGTTGTTGGTACTCCTGGATCCTAAACTAGGGGCTCAAGCAGCACCTCATCCTGCTATCCTAAAAGCCCACCCACGTCCAAAAGCCCTGGCTGCACTTTCTCACAGCTCTGCAGGAGAGCTCCCATGGCCTTGGGAAACCTCTGCTGGTTTGGCCTGCCCCCCACTGCCTTCTTGGACCCTCTCCCCAAACATACCAAAGCCCCCCCTCTTGTGGGTGCCCCTCCCCCCCGCTCACCCTGCTCGCCCACCAAGGTCATTAGAAGGTGCTGCTCCTTCTCACTGGGCTTGCTCAGGGAGATGTGCCAGTCCCCGTGGTGGCCGCTACCGTGCCGGGGTAGCACCTCCTCCACCAGAGCCAGGAACTGCAGTCCCCAGTGCTGCCGAAA